CCCCCTCTGATATCCCTGCACTTTCTATCGACCATTGTTTATTGAAAGGTGTGACCTGCATTAACCTGTATTCTTTTCTAGAAAGACAATCTAGCTGTGACATGACCTCACGAGTATTTTGATCCAACTCGAGGCACACATGATGTCGCTCGCCGACTGCGTTGTTTGATCCTTGCATAATTAAACGAGGGATCTGTCATTTCTTTTAGCCATTATCAGCTGGCCCTGCTCGGCTTAGGTCCACTGATGCATAGGAATTCATAAATCAAAACCAATGGTCAAATAAGCTATGGACGATCAAACGCGTGCCAGGATGGGGGCTATGAGAAACGGAGGCGAAAACAGACCCGGACGGGAAGACCGTTGAACTCGCTGGGAACACCTGAGCGAGCCCGGCACAAAAGTAGTCTGTTGGGAGAGCCGTCGGTCAGTGATTTCACGATGATTTGTGTATGCAGGCCTGTGTCGGTCAGCTGTTGGAGATGGTCAGCCCCCGCTCGGTGGATGATTGACGGCCAACGGGAATGCTGCACAATAGATTTTCTATGATCAGATCAAAGCCTGTGGCGAGGATTTCCGTAATGCTGTCATAGAGCTCGCACGCATGCGCGCCTGTCAGGTGCTGTCAAAGACTGTCATGGCTTCAGTCGCGGGATCAGGGCAATAAAGTCCTATTTGCTGCTACACGTTATTTACTATTATTATCGTAAACATTTAGGTAGATAGAACGCTTTGACGTTTGACTCGCAAGACGTCTCCGCGATTTCTTTAACTTTACCTTTTCTCGGCTGAGTGATGATGGAAATATGCACCTTGAACTGAAGTACTGAAAAATGTCCGGCCAATGATTGGAATGTGCGTGTAGTATGTGAGTATGTGATGAGCCGTGTTCATTAACATGTTGGAGCTACGCGCGAGCCTGTGTGGCCATGTGCTGCTGCTGGTGGGGGAGTCCGTAAATTAACTTGCCTGTCCTGGGGACATCATGGGGCCGTGACGAGTGGGGTCTTCGACCTCAACGGAATTAGAAAAAAAGGGGAGGGGAGAGAAAAAGAAAAGAAAGGAAGATGTAAGAAAAGGCGAGGACTGGAAAAGTTG